GTCAGCAGCCGGCCCTGCTCCAGCAGCCGCAGGATGTTGGAGGTGGCGAAGGCCTTGGAGGCCGAGGAGGACGCCCGCTTCTCCAGGTCTCTGCTCTGGTCTTTCTTCTGCTTGGTGCGCCGGTTCTGGAACCAGACCTTCACCTTGGGGCGGAGCGTGGGGAGGGGTGTCAGCACGGGGGAGGGGGGCAGGTGGGGCAGGAAGAGGGAGGACACAGCGGGGGGCCGGGGAGTGGGGAGTGGGGAGCAGGGGTGCAGTGAGAGAGGAAAGAAGAGGAATCGGATTAGGATCTTCCCACAACCAGCCTGCTCTGGGTGAACTGATAAGAGATCCTGGTCCCCCTCCGAGTCATGGGCACCCCTTCACTGCTAAGCTGACCCTGGTCTAGGACAGAAGCAGTGGATTGGCAGCTGGAGGGGGCGTCCAGAGGGCACAGAGGAAGGTCCCCTCTTGGCCCACCCTCCTTCCCCTCTTGGCCACTCCCACCTCTTCTGGGCTGGGCCCCCAGGCTGTCTGCGAAGGGAGCTGCTAAAGTAGTCTGGACATTCACCTGTTTGAGCCTCTCAGCAGCCCCTCCCACCCCATCATTTATAAAGGCTGCACTTCTCCACTTGATACGCAGTGTAAGAGGATGTGTCAGGATGCTGAGGGAGACTTCAGATGACCACATACTCAAAGCTGGGGACATAGAGGTGCCAAGTAGCCCCATCCTAAATAGAGCCACCGACCAAAGGGCAGAGACCTTTTTCAAGGTGGATGGGAGGAGGAGAACTTGCCCTCTGCCATCACCCAGTACCTGGCACCCGGCCCCGGGCACTCCAACCACATCCTACTCTACAGGAGGAAAGGCAGTCTGGGAGGGAGGCTCAGTGGTCAGTTCTGCAGGCCCCAGACAGTGAGGGGAGTTCCTCCCCTCTCTGGGAAGGACAGGGTGCTCCCCCCTGCCCAAGGCAACTTGGGGGTGTGAGTGAGTCACTTGCAGGGCCTGGAAGTACGTGGAAGGAGAAAGAATGACATCTGCTCCCCACAGCATCTGCCAGCCCATGTCACTGGAGCCGCCAGTGCAGCACTCGGACCCGTGTCCCCAGGAGCACAGAGACTGACCCTGCTTCTGGCCTGGAAGTTTTGGGAGGCTGGCAGCCGACTGGACATTGTGTGTCAGCAGGACAAGTAGGGACCATGGAGTGGAGGGCCCGGGGGGGAAAAGAATGGGGAGACCCGCTGGTTCCCTCCAGCCTCCGAGGATATAAGGGAAGTAGCAACTCCGGTGGCTCCAGGTGGAGGATCTGAGAGGTGAGGAGGAGGAGGCAGGGGAGGGAGGCTTGCCTGCCTGGGTGAGGATGAGGGCAGAGCTAAGGCTGTCTGGGGTGATACCCAACATCACCACCTGTGGGAGCAATCACCCCTCCAGCAAAGACCTCGAGCTAGGAGGCTCCTCAGGCCAGAAGGTGCCAGGTTCCCTGCCCCCCAACCCTGGGGGAAGGTGCTGGTGGGGAGGGAGCAGGTGGCTCAGACAGAGCACACCCCCTTCTAGTGACTACAGCGGGAGGGGCTTCTTTCCCTGAGGTCCCTCCAGCAGGGAGTCGGGCCAGTTCTGAGTTGGGGCCGAGAGGTTGTGACAGACGTGAGTTTGTTGTTTTACACGGGACTAGACTGAGTTTCCATAACTGAAAGTGACCAGGGAGTCACAGGATCCACTTGAGGTTGAGTGCTTCATTCATTTACCCATTCATTCATTCAACAGATATGTACTGAGCACCTACCATGTGCCAGGTGCTGTTTCAGGCTCGGGGAATCAGCAGTGAACAAAGCAGAGCAAATCTGTGTGGAGTGGACAGCACAGAGGGGGGAGACAGATGATAACAAATAAAAACATACAGGTGTGGCTGTCGAGTAGCAATAATGGTTTGTGGTGAGGAAACCACTTTTTAAAGTTTCCAATCTGTTGTGGGCCAATATTTTTGTAAAATACAACTAAAAAAGTTACTAGAAAAATTGCCATCCACATTTCTAAATGCTTACTCTCCAGTTTGGACTCGTCAAGCGCAGGTAATAGTGTGTGAGCTGGCCGCACCCCGAGGACAACACTTTGGGGCGCTGCTTTGGAAAAAGGGGACGAGATAAGGAGGGGAGAGGCGGGGAGGTGACTATCTTATGAGTGGGGTGGCAAACACAGCCTCTCTGAAGAGGTGACATTTGAGTCTATATCAGTGAGGGATGGTCAGGGAAGATTTGACTCAATCTGGCTGAAGGAAGTGACTGTTAGTTATTCCAGAATTTGATTGCTCCAGGAAGTGATCCCACCAGATCCTTGGAGACTGTGGCTCTGCAATCCTTTCTCCTGCTAGGAAGGCTCCCGGCTTCTTGGCCAGGTTAGTACCTACCATCTTAGGACCTCAGGCCAGGGACCACCCTCAAGAATCCCTGAATCTCAGTTTCTCATCTCTAGAGTGGAGACAGGGAGGGTACAGCTCAGTGGTAGAGTGCATGCTTAGCATGCACAAGGTCCTGGGTTCAATCCCCAGTACCTCCACTTAAAAAAATTAAAAACAGAAAAATAACAAAAAGATTATGCTTCTTAAAAAAAAAAGCTAAAATAAGGAAATCCTTGTAGAGGGCTTAGCATCCTGCCTGGCCACGCTCAGTGGGTGTTATTATTTCTTGCTCACTTTTTCTGTTCCTATCTCTGAACTAGAGGGAGGGGACAGACCCAGAAGTCGTGGGTCCTTTCCTCGGGAAACTGAGGGGATAGTGGGAGAGCGACACTAACCCGCCCCAGCAAACGGAGGGCGGTTAGGTACAAAGGGAGTGTGTCAGGCTTTCAGGGGGGATCTGCTCCATGTCCAGCTTGGCTGCAGCCCTGGCTGTGACAGGGAGAGACGGGAATGCCTAGGGCAGTCCCTGGAACACAGCAGGCGTTCAGTCATACTTCTGAACAAAAGTATGGGGTGAATATACTCAGAAGTCCACAAAATTCTAGCCATATCACCTTGGGCAAGTGAATTAGCCTCTCTGGGGCTCAGCTTTCAGAAACAGAGATCCTCTTACCCATAAAGTCATCTTTCTGTAAAGATGAGGTGAGCTAATGGATGTGCCTGCTTTAAATTTTGCGCATGTTATATAATTTCTGAGTGCCTCAGCTTCCGTCTCTTTAAAGTAAATATAGTAAAGAGCCTTTCTGGTGGGCTGAAAAAATATCCTGGTCCTTGGCACAGGGCTCCTGACTCCCATGCATTTCCTGACTGACACACCGGCCCCTCCGAGCGCACCTGAGTTTATGCTAATGAGGTGACTCAGGGTGAACTCCAAGTTTCAGGATGGAGGTTGGTCCCAGAAAGACTGGACCTGTGATTAGAAGGTTGGAACTTTCAGCCCCGTCCCTGACCTCCAGGGAGGGGAGTGCGGGCAGGAGACTGGGTTATAAAGACTCTTGAATAATGAGATTTGGGGGCTCCATGAACTCTCCCCCATATATCCAGCTCTATGCATCTCTTCCATCTGGCTATTTCTGAGTTGTATCCTTCATAATAAATCTGTAAAAGTAAACACAGTAGAAAGCGTTTCCCTGAATTCTGCGAGTCATTCTAGCAAATTATCAAACATAAGGAGGGGGGTGCGTGAACCCCCACATTTATGGCTGGTCAGAAGTACGGGTGGCCCCTGGGATTTGCTACTGGCCTGTGACGTGGGACTGTCCTGTGAGACTGAGCCCTGAAGCTGCAGCGTCTGAACTAACTCCAGGAGCTAGTGTCTGAATTGAACTGAGTCGAACTATTGGACACTCAGCTGAGTGTCAGAGAATTGGTGGCTGTTAACGTGGGAAAGCACCACCTATTTGGTGTCAGAAGGAAAACCTCACAGGGATCCCACAAGGCAGTGGTTAGAACACATCAAGCACTTAGAACAGTGCCTGGTGCACAGGCAACGCTGTGTTAGCCAGCTGTATCGTATATTATCTGCAAAACCCCAGGGCTGGGGAAAGAGAAAGGAGGGCGGTAAGTAACAATCTGTTAATTGAGGATTCACTGGGGGCCCCCAGGAGGCCTGAAGAGGAAAAAAGGCCTTCACATACTTTCTTGACCTTGGGAAGTCCATGTTGGCTAGTGCCCACCCCACACACACACAGACACACACACCCACCACACACACACTCACCCCCCCACACACACTCACCCCCACACATACCACACACCCCTACACATGCACACCACCACACACATGTACCACACACAGACCCCTCCACACACCACACATACACCCACACACACCCCACCCCACCCCCACATACACACTCTACACTTTACAGTTCAAGCCGTGTGGAAAAGGTCTTAGAATGAGGTAAAGAAGCCTTAGGGAAGGCTTCCTGGAAGAAGAGGAGCTCGGTCTTGATCTTCAAGGGCAGACAAATGTAGCCTGTACTGGGGGCAGAGCAGGGGAAGGATAAGGACTGAGAAGGAGCTACCGGCCTGGGCATCTGAGAGGCCCTTGGAAAGAAGGTTTCAGGGGAGAGTTTGGGGGCAAAACTGGGTGAGACAGAGGGAAATTAGGACACAGGGGAGGGCTGGGGGTTGAGGGGTGACTCGGTGCCTAGATCCCGGGGTTTGAGGTGTCTCCCTGACTTCCCCTGGGAGCTCTCGCCTGGCCCAGCCACTGCGGGCCCCTTTCTGAGCAGAGCCTGGCCCTGCAACCCCGCTGAGCTCAGCTGGAGGGAGGGCCCCTGCCCCTGGCCATCTGCCGGGTTGTTTGGGGCTGTGTACAGGGAAAGCTGGAGGACAACAGTCCAGGTGGAGATGACCCGAGCCTGCGGGCCGGCTGGCTGCCAACCTGCCCTAACTGCAGCGGGCCCGTGCAGTGGGGGACCTCCCGGAGCCGCCGCCTGCGGCCTTCCCCAGGGAGCGCGCCCTTCCGGCCTGTCTGCTCCCTTAGTCCTCTCCTGCCTCTCCTCCCCCCTCAAGTGTCCTAGTCTGGCCCCTTCCATACAGTTATTGACTGACCTTCCTCCGCTGCCTACCTATAGCTGAACCAAGAGTCTCTGAGTCTTCCTTTGACAAGCTCCAGGGTAGTTACCCAGTTTCCAGGCAGCAGAAAGATGCTGGACTGCTTGTCCAAACCCCAGCTCTGTATGACCTTGGGCATAACGTCTCCTCATGTGTAAAATGGGATAATTCTGGTAGTTACATCACAGGGTTGCTGGGAGGGATTAGTGAGTTAACATATGCAAGGCACTTAGAACAGCGCTCTGGCACGATAAGTACTAATATTATTATTATTATCATTTAGCTCTATTACCAGCTTGAAATGCCTCCATTCACACAGAGTAGGTACTCAGTTTACTAAAGTTCTCCCTTTGGGTTGAGCATACAGTTGTTAAAGTGCTAAGCGTGAAGTCCTGTGTGAAGGGAATATTCAGAGCCCCTCTCTTCAACAGGAGTTTCTGAGGCACATTGGGATGAAGGGAAGGCGAGAGAAGATGGGGAAAGGTCCAGAATGGGGAAATGAGAGGTCCCTAGCCCAACTTTGTAATGCCTCATCTCTCCCCTGGATCTTTGCTCCCAGAAAGCCAACCCCTCTCCATCCCTTCCTGTAGGCTCCCTCCGGCACCAACCAATACCCTCTTAGGCCACCCTCTGCCTCTGGAATGGCCCTCCCTCCTTTTACTTTCTGTTGGCATATAACTTCCTCTCATCAGCACTATATTTATGTGCTCTGATTCTTGTGTAACTTTAAGCCTTTCCCTAACATATGTCTGAACTCCAGGATCGGGTCTCCATGCAGCAGCCCGCAGGTCTCACACCCCAAGGAGTTCCCCGGCTGCCAGGGCAGGGGTGGAGTGGCCTGGCCCTGCCCTTTTACCTGGGTTTCTGAGAGGTTCAACTGACGGGCCAGCTCAGTGCGCTCACGGCCCACCACGTACTGGCAGCGCTGAAACTCCATCTCCAGGCGGTACAGCTGCTCAGCTGTGAAGGATGTGCGGGTCCGCTTGGGCCGGTCCAGGTCCAGGCCCTTGGGCAGGACAATTTCCCGGATGGTTCCTTTGGCATCTGCAGATATCATAAAAGGAGGCAGATTAATTCACTAGTTAAGGATTTAAGTCACCAACGAGCGTCTTAATAAGAGGCAGTGTGATCTAGTGAGGAGTTCCTCAGATCTGAGCCTGGCTGTGTGACCTCTGACAAGCTGCTTACCCTCTCTGGGCCTAGCCTCCTTAATCACCCAATGCAGAATGTTATATCTAATGGGTATATGTATATGAATGGGCCTCAGTACAAATGTCAGGTCTATCATCATAGCCTGGGCAGAGAGGACTCACTTTGACCCAGCCAAGATTCTGCTCCCTCAGCAGAGCAAGAAACAAATGGAAAGAGAAACACCAAGTCCTCAAGTGCAGAGGAAAAGATGGGTTAGACCTGGATGTGACCCATCAGGTAGGTCTTACTGGAGGAGATGTCCAGAGTACTTTTTTTTAAATTGAAGTACAGTTGATTTACAATGTTGTGTTAGTTTCAGGTGTCCAGCAAAGTGATTCAGTTTTACATACATATACATGTGTGTATATATATGTATTCTTTTTCAGATTCTTTTCCACTATAGGTTATTATAAAATATTGAATATAGTTCCCTATATACAGTATACATACAGTAGGACCTTGCTGTTTATCTATTTTGTGTATAGTAGTTTGTATTTGTTAACCCTAAACTCCTAATTTATCCCTCCCCACTTTCCCTTTTGGTAACCATAAGTTTGTTTTTTATGTCTGTGAGTCTTTTTATGTTTGTAAATAAGTTCTTTTGTGTCACTTTTTTTTTAAAGATTCCATATATAAGTGATATCATATATTTTTCTTTCTCTTTCTGGCTTACTTCACTTAGTATGATAGTCTCTGGGTCCATCTATGTTGCTGCAAACAGCATTATTTTATTCTTTTTTATGGCTGACTAGTATTCCATTATATATATATTACTATATATTCATGTAGACCACAACTTTTTTATCCAGTCATCTGTTGTTGATGGACATTTAGGTTGCTTCCATGTCTCGGAAGAGCCATGTCTTAAACCCTGTGTGTATGTGTGTGTGTGTGTGTGTGTGTGTGGTGAGTGCAGGGGTGTGCACTTTGCCCATAGACCCTCCTGGGGTCCATGAAGAGGCTCACTGGTGAGGGGTAGAGGTGGGATCCCCAGGGGGAGGAGAAGAACCATTGCTACTGTGTCAAGCTGCTGGGGGTGACTTCAAAAGGGGGAGCTTCTGCCACTCCCTGTGTGTCTAGTCCTGAATAGCAGGCCATCCTCCTGGGCCCTGGACCAATGCCATCTATGCATTCGGTCCCTAAGATGGAGCCTACATAAGAGATGTTGAAAATCCTACAGCCCATGTTCACCAGATAGTCCCACTTAAAGAACTCAGTAACAGCAACAAAGTCTTCAGCAAAAACAACATTTCTTAGGGGTAAGGCTGGTTATATACATACATCAGCTTTAACTACAGGGGCAAAGATGATCCAAGTTTGAACCACCCATACTGACGGCTTAAAATCTAGTTCTTAGAAAATTTTACGTCAAAAATTAGAGTGTGGAAATATGCAGCATAATATTCTGTAGGATTTCCCAAACCACTCCCAAAGTATGATCTTGATAATAATAAAGCTAAACTAATGGTAATTTGCCTTTACATAGGAAGGTTAGCGTCAATGAAAAACTTACCAACTCTCAGATCTGGATCAAGCCCAGGTAACAGCCCTGATCAAGCCCAGGTAACAGAGCAAGCCGCCACAGTTGCAGTGACTCCAACCCTCTCCAGGGGGCGAGCACAGCCAGCAATGGTAGTGGTAGTGGCTTTGGCAGCTCATGGTTTAGTCATGATAATAGCTGACATCTCTGCAGTGCTTGCTCTGGGCCAGGCACTGTTTTCAGCACTTTAACCCTCCCAGTGTCTCAATGAAGTTGAAATTATTATTATCCCCATTTTACAGATGGGGAAATGGAGGAACAAATTTTAAGTCACTTACCCTAAGTCATACTGACAGTATTCAGTAAGCTTTAGACATACCCTCATTTGACTTGATGAATACCCTCTTTTAATAATCCTTAGTGATTCAACTGACAGGTTATAATGAAGAGAGCTTTGGTCATGGGTAGAAAATGGAATGTTCTGGATGGGTTCTCCATTGCCCTGGAAGAAGTAGGAAAGGACCTGTACTGGGGATGTGCGGGCTGTCAAGAGGCTCCCTGTGAGCCACAGGACTGTAGAACCTATTTCAGGGTCCCCGCTCTACAGGGTGAAACTGAGACCTCTCGCTCCAAATCCCCCAGCTTATGACTTACGCCGAGACTGGTTCTTCCTGCCTCCAGCCAGGGCCAGCTAATGTTCACTCCTCAGGATGCACTTTAGTTCCTCCTAGGCTCCTGGCTGGCAGGTCTTGTCCCCGATCTCAGAGGTTCTAGCCCCTTCGTGTGCTCAGTCAATGCTGGGGGAGAAGGTGAGTCTGGGTGGGGTACGCAGTCCTGCCCAGAGGCTGCTCCTCCCCACCACCAGGCTGGTCCCGGAGGGCACTGGGCAGAACACAGTCCACGGGTGGGGGCCCTGCTCTTGGAGGGCTGGTGGAAACACAGGCCTTTTGGAACAACTCAAGCTTCCCCACTCTGATACTTTCGACATTTCAGTGTGGTGGGGTAATCTTGTGACCCCATTGTGACTGGGTCCCCTTTCCTCAGCTTCTACTGACTCCATCTCCAAAGGCACTGATTTTATTAAAAGAGTCTTGGTGGGTGTGAACAGGGGGAAGGGTGGTGGGTGACTATGATGTGCTGGAAGCTCACATCTTTCCCCAGAGCCCATCTGAAGCTCTGAGCCTGTGCTCCTGACCACTGAGGTCAAACCATAAGGCTCCCCCTTTCCACTTCCATAGAGGAGCTAAGAGGAAAATTCCTGCCTCAGGGAACAGCCAGAGCAGCACCCCTGCCCTTTAGGGCCAGGGGAGGCAGGAACCAGTAACAACCAGGAACCAGGGCACCTCAGACTTGCCCCCAGAGACCTAAACGGGCCATACAAATTGGCACATGAGAAGATGTTCAACGTCACTAGCCATTGCGGAAGGCAAATGAAAACCATAAGAAATACATCTCGGAGTAGCTACAACAAAAAATATTGAGAGGACCAAAGGCTGGCAAAGATGCCGAGAAACTAGATCTCTTGTACATTGCTGGTGGGGATGGAAAATGGTGCAGCCACTCTGGAAACTGACCTAGCAGTTTCTGAAAGAGTTAAACATATATTTACCATGGAACCCAGTGACCTCACTCCTGAGCATTTGTCTTAGAGAAATGAAATCTTAGGTTCACATCAAAACCTGCACGTGGATGTCCATAGCAGCTTTCTTTGTAACAGCCCCCAAACGGAAACAATCCAGACGTCCCACAATAGATGAATGGATAAACAAATTGTGGTACAGCTATATTATGGGATGCTACTCAGCAGTAAAAAGGAATAACAATTGACATGACAATTTGGATAAATCTCCAGGGAATTATACTGAGTGAAAAAAACCAAGCCCATCCTTAAGGCTACATGCTGTATGATTCTATGTATATTACACTATAAAATGACAAAGTTATAGAGGTGGAGAACAGACTTGTGCTTGCCAGGGGTTAGATAAGGGGGGGTGTAACTATAAAGGGGTAACATGAGGATGCTTCTTGGTGCTAACAGAACAGTTCTGCATCTTGATTGTGGTGGTGGTTATATGGATCTATAAATGTGATCAAATGTCATAGTACTATATACAAAAACAAAAAAGGGCATGCCAAAAATGGGTGAAACCTGAGGAAGGTTGGCAGTTTAATTAATTATATTGTACCAATGTCAGTTCCCTGATTTTGATAATGTATTTTAAATATGGAAGATGTCACCACTGTGAGGAGCTGGTATACAGATACACAGGACCTCTCTACCATTTTTACAACTTCTTGTGAGTCTATATTTCAATAAGTGAGACTTACTTCAAAATAAGACATTAACAACAGTTACAACAAAACATGCCATGGAGCTAGAATGATGTTTTGTCACAGAAACTGACAAATCCATTAGTTGAAAGAATATAACAGTGTTTCCCCAAACGCCTCTGCATTTCACTTGTGGTTTGTAAGATTGTTTAAAATGATACATAAATAAATTCTTTCTCATTTCAAAAGTTACGCACTTATTTTAGTGTTTACTAGAAAAAATTGAAAGCTATGATTTTACTTGCTTAGAATGAAGCTACAGTAGGTATTTTGTTTTAAAATATGCTGAAATATTAAGTAAATAAATGAAACATGAATATAATAGAAATGGTAAAGATAGTATTCAAATAACTGACTATTGGGAAACAATGGGATAAGAATACACAATTGGAGCTGTGTATATATAGTGTAGAAAGTTTGTGACAAAGGGAATATTCTAAATGGAGACGGGTTGGTCTAGCCTGTAAGTGGAGTTAAATTGGTTACTGTAAGTTGTCTGTTTGGAATATCATTAAGTTAAATTCATGTTTCACACCATAAAGATCAATGTTTTGAATGGATTAGAGATCAAATCATAGACTACAGAATGATAAAAGCATTTAAAGAAAATATAGGAGGATATTCTTATAACCCTAAGCTTGGGAAGAGTTTTCCAAGCAAGATACCAACTTAGACTGTAAAAGAAAAACAGAGGTTTTATTTGACTATATTAAAGATAAAAACTTTTGTATGACAACAAGCATTAAAATCAAGGTAAAATGCAAAAGACACAATTGGAGAAAATGCTTTTGAACACCAGAAACTAACACAACATTGCATATCAACTATACTTCAATTTAAAAAGAAACAAAAGAGAAAATACTTTTTAAAAGGCAAAGAAATAATACCCAGAATATATAAAATGCAATTATGAGTAAACTATTTTTTTTTAAAAAAAAACAGGGCAATGGTCCAGTAGAAAAAATATTCAAGTCATTTATGTGAGCCATTCCCAGAAAAGATATCCAAATGGCCAATAAATAAATGAAAAGACGAGCGTAGC